AAAATGCAGTTACTGGAAGCTATTTGTTAAATTACTGCTGTTTTATGGAAGCTGTCCTCTTCCAGCACACAACACGGGAGTCCCCAGGCACCCTGCCCATCACACACAGGACGTCGTCCCCCACCCACCTCCTCCCTGAGCCATGGGTCCACCCAGAGGAGCCTGCAGGATCCAGTCCCTGGTCTGGGGATCCCACCATACCAGTCCCACAATGAGCTACAAGAGAACGCACTTAGTCCACAACATTCCTGGCTTGAAACACAGCAGACATCCCTGTCTGTAACAGACTGAAGAGATCTACAGTGAGCAACACGAAGCATCCTCCTGCATGGGGCTGAGCAGTTCTGAACACATCACTCAGGAGACAGAGCCTCTTTTAAAAACCTGGAATGGAGGAAATGAAGGAAGAGCAGGACTGTGGCTCATTCCCATCCATTTGTTACAGACTGGCTGTTTACATGCAAGATATCTACTTTTTATGTTGTGCTTCAGAAGACAGTGAATGTTTTTTTTGGAATTGGCCACAAAGCCTCAAGAAAAATCACAGAATCACAGACTGGTTTGGGTTGGAAGGGACTTTAAAGACCATCCAGTCCCATCCCCCTGCCATGGGCAGGGCCACCTTCCACCAGCCCAGGTTGCCCAAAGCCCTGTCCAACCTGGCCTTGAACCCTTCCAGGGAGGGGGCAGCCACAGCTTCTCTGGGCAACCTGCGCCAGGGCCTCACCCCCCTCACAGGGAAGAATTTTTGCCTTGGATCTCATCTGAATCTCCCCTCTTTCAGTTTAATCCCGTGACCCCTTGTCCTATCCCCACACCCCTGATCCAGAGTCCCTCCCCCCTTTCCCACAGCCCCTTTCAGCCCTGGGAGGCTGCTCTAAGGTCTCCCCGCAGCCTTCTCTTCTCCAGCTGAACCCCCCAACTCTCCCAGCCTGTCCTCACAGGGGGGGGTCCAGCCCCCCCAGCATCTCCGTGGCCTCCTCTGGCCCCGCTGGAGCAGGTCCGTGTCCTTCTGCTGTTGGTGCCCCAGAGCTGGACCCAGCCCTGCAGGGGGGTCTCACAGAGCGGAGCAGAGGGGGAGAATCCCCCCCTCTCCCCGCTGCCCACCCTGCTCTGGGTGCAGCCCAGCACACAGGGGCCTTTCTGGGCTGCCAGCGCACGGTGCTGGCTCACAGTCAGTCTTCCATCCACTGATACCCCCAAGTCCTTCTCCTTGGGGCTGCTCTCCAGCCACTCCTTGCCCAGCCTGGATTTGTGCTGGGGATTGCCCCGACCCCTTGCTGAACTCCATGGGGTTTGCATGTCCCACCTCTCCAGCCTGTCCAGGTCCCTCTGGATGGCACATCCCTTCCTTCCAGCGTGTCACCGCACCACACAGCTCGGGGTCGTGGGTGAACTTGCTGAGGGTGCCTCGATCCCACTGTCCATGTCACTGACAAAGATGTTAAACAGCGCCAGTCCCAACACCCACCCCTGAGGAACAGCACTCATCACTGGTCTCGTCTTGGACATCGAGTTGTTGACCAAAACTCTGAGTGCGACCCTCCAGCCAATTCCTTATCCACCATGTGCGCCATCCCTCAACAACATGTCTCTCCAATTTAGAGACAAAGATGTCATGCAGGACAGTGTCAAAAGCTTTCACAAGTCCAGGCAGATCTTGGGTTTGAGTTTCCAGGACCCAAGCAACTTCATTGCAATGCCTTCATTTTGTTGCTATTATAAAATGATATCACTTCAGTTGTGCACCAGACACACATTAGAGGTATGCTATTACCCAGTTCATGTAATACACATAAAAAAGATAAAGTCTCACACCCTCTCTCCCATCAAAAAAATCAAAAAACCTCAGTCTTTCAAAAGGGTTAAATTCATACAAGGAAAAAGCCTCATGTTTTTCAATCCCATTTAATCCCTTCTTGGTTTTGATTACATCATTAAAAGCAACTCAGGCTAGGATTATCAGTATAGGTCATAAATAAAGGCAATGCATTGATTTTTATTTACTTAGTTTTACACCAAGCTTCTTCAACGATGAACAAAAGGAGAAAACTTGTTTTCAACATGTGATCAGCAAGTAAAACCCAGAAGTCATAAAGCTTATCCTGTTTTTCTCTGTGACACCAATAATTCAGCTTTGCTTCCTCCCAGGGAAGTAATATGAAACCACCTTTTGGAAACCAACACCACAGTATGTGGAGCTTTCTGTAAAACCTGTTGTAACTTTTTGCTTTTGGATAGAAAGATTTGTTGCTATCCTTCCTATTGGTTCCAGGTTCATCTCATCAAGTCAGAGATCTGTATTTAATTTCAGGGATTCAGCGATCAGTAGAAGTTCCCCATCCATCCAGAGTCTCTCAAAATGATCTGACTCCATTCTGGTTTAGCTTCTGAAAGAAAACTGACCCTATATCTGGCAACAAGGAGGACACACCTCTCCAATCACACCAGCCACATGTAACATCACAGGTGTGGCTTTCAAAGCAGGTAGGGAGGCTACAGGTGAGGACTTGCACAAAGACCGCATTTGCTCTTTGCTCTACAGAACGCATTAAACCCATCTCTCTTCCTCACAAGACCATCAAAGGGATGGATCAGCTCTGAAGAGCCTTTCCAGCTCTACCCGTAGGGCTTCCATAAAGAACAAGTCACACTCCCTAGCAATATCTCAGCACTTCTCCCAAATTATGAAGTGTCTGTGACACAGTTCATAACGTGACCATCATAATCACAGAGGGGACTGAAATGCCTCAAGGATCCATTCCGCAGAAAACCGTGCAGTGGCACATCATTTGCAGAAGTTTAGCACCTTACCATCCAGGTAGTTGCCATAAATGTGACAAACTGAAACATAACTCAATTTGCATGCTTTAATCTTCCACGGCTGATTTGACTTGATACACGCGAATCACATAAAAATGCAAGATAGTCCAAGAAAGTATTTACATAAGGGGCTGTTTATAACAGCAAAGAGCTATTTCAACAGTAATATATTTGCTTTTCAAGAGGATGCAAGAATTATCTTTCATCCCACAGTTATCTCTAATTCTCACCTCTGCATGCATCTTAATTTCCATTAAGATCTGTGAAAGTCTGTTCCTGTTACAAAAAGAACAAACATGCAAGTTCAGCTGTAGGGAAAGAAGGCTGTGGGTGATAAGACTGCTATTCTCGAGGTACAACGAGGATGCCTGCCAGTGTTCATCTGACATCCTAGGCTGGATTTTGATTCTGTGCTAAGCAGTTCTACTAATATTACTTAATTACACCATTGTTTACCCTATTCGAGAGATTCTTATGCACACATAGACATTTACATTATTAAACACGCTACATCATTATCAAACCCAAACAAACTTCAGAGGCACAAGCCAATCTAAATACGTGAGCACAGCAGCTCTGCTTGTCTGCTGAGTTCTAAAATTGTTTCTCCTCTCTTTGATGATGAATTCTAGTGAAAGGGGAAAAAAACCAAATCACCATCTGTTTTGGTGGTTTCAATTTGGATTTGTAAACAGGAGTCATCTGTGACGACACTAAAGCGCTCACAGAATGTGAAATTCAGTCCAGGGTATCCATAAAGTTCAAACAATTTTTGATGATTTTCTGGAAAGAGCCAACATCTGGGGGTGTATATTTTCTAACTTACAACCTCACCTGACCATTTCTCTCCATTTTTAGGGAGATACCCTTCATGCAGAAAACTCCATACTAGAGCAAAACATTTCTTTGAGCACTTCTGTTTCCTACTAACTATACACAGGTGAGAAAGGGTGGTCCAGTACAGTACCATGGAGGAAGATTACACAGAAGACTTGGCCTTCCAGCAAGCACACACACTAGAGTTGAGGACACCATTTTCTGGTTAAAATCATTAGAACTTTAGTACAAAGAGTTAACCGATGTGTTTCCTAGATATTATACCGTGGATGGTTTTTTGAAAAGCATTTGCTGATAGCTATTCATTGACTGTTCCACAGCAGAACATGTATATTGTGTACGTTTTCATCTGTAATTGAGAGCATCCTCCTGCTGACACCAGCATCTTTTGACATTTCTGAACAGAGCTTTAGTGGAATAACTGTATTTCCCATGGTGTCTCCTGTCTTGTATCGTACTTACCGCAAGCTGCCAGTCTGTATTTGTGGGGTGGAGAACGCTATTCTCAAGAGAATGGCCATTTAATATTCTCAGCTGTGCTGTGACCTTTTCCATTAATAGATGTCACAATAAGGGCATGCCTTTATTGTCGAGCTACAAAAGCATACTGGTTAATCACCCACAAGGCAGGCGTCATCTGAAGCTCTGTCATGAATATCCAAGCACATGTCTTGTCTTGACTATATATGAGATGGGAGGACTCATGTTTGAGGGTTTCCCAAGCAAAAATGCCCTAGGCCATCTATCAAACACTATGGCACCAATCAGCGCAAATCTGAAGGAGAGAAACACTTAACTTGGAAATCACAATAATTCAACCTTTCTTAGCAAGAGCAAAACCAAGCTGAACTTCTTCCTTTAGTACTGACAACTACAGTGCAAACCAGTCGTGTGAGGAAGATGCCGGGAGCATCTGAAGGGGGATGAATAGAACAGTCCTCCTGAACATGACCTGATTTTGCACAGTTTCACAAACACTCCCCACACCACCCCCCCAAAAAAAACCAAAAATCAAACCAAATCCTAAACCTGAACTTCAAGAAAGGAAAACATTTGGAAAAAACCCTAAAAACTTACTAATTTAAAAATAGTAGGAAGATCAGCATAGTAATAACCAGTGTAGTCCAAGCTCCCTCTTCTGGTCTTTTGGAGTAAATATACTGGAGATAGCAGGTCTCCATAGTCTACTATTTGGTTTCAAAATCCAGCAACAAACTATATAACTTAGACAGAACACCTGTTAAAGCCATTCAGCCTGTTTCACACTTTATATTTTCTTAAGCAAAGGATGTATAGACACGGAAATGTATTGCAATGTATGAAATAACACTGCACAATACCTCTTTTTTTCCCTTGTGAAACCTTCAGTTTCTTGAGCAGGCAGTTCTACACCATCACCAGGGGCCGCAGCCAAAGGTACATCTCCAGAAATGAGGTAATCAACTTCTTTGCAGCTATCAGGCTTGGAAGTGCTGCAAAACAGTTATTAAAAATAAGCCGACAAATTTCAGGAGTGTTCATGAAGCTTTACTGAAGTCTCCTTAAAGACAGAGCTTTGGCTGGATCCAAACTAAGGGGCTCTAAGGAGCACACCACACCCTCCCCAATTCCTTCTCTCTTCCACCTCCCACAAATTACTTCTTCCTACGAACCCTATTTCACTTAATTTCTCAGATGACCACGTAACCAGTAATATTGCAAAGTTCTGACGGGTCTTACAGACCATAACATTAACTGCCAGAGGAATTTAACTGTGTATGAAATTAGTAAAATAAATTAATGGCTAATGACTACTTTGTAGTTCTCACGCAGTCCTACCTCCTCAGTGTACAATACAAACATTCAACTAAGTGACTTGCGGTTTAGAAAAAAAACAAAATCCGGGACTGAAAAATTCTCTTACTTTAAAAACTCTCTCTATGCTGTAAAGCTGAAAGCACAATAATCCCTGGACTCATGACATGAATGTTAAGATTACAGGACTGTAATACCGCTGTATTTGTTAATTCCTGCAAGTCCCTCTGCTCGGCAAAGCCCCGCAAGACCCAGCTCAGAAGCATGACAGTCATGTAATGATTTCCAGAGCATGCAAATACGGATTGGAAAGACTTGGGTTTCTTCATAGCAAGGGAAGGCACTGTGGGGGCACTACGAGGAGGCACGAGGAGGCACAGGGCAGAGCACAGGAGGAACCCCCCCATCTGCCCAAACCCCTGGAACTGAGGGAGGGCAGTTCTGCCGTTCCCTCTCCTCAAGGCAGAACACACCGGTACAGCTCCATTAACTTTCTGTTTTCGTGAGCAAAACCCAAATTAGAAAAATAGCTTTTGACAGCAGCACAAATAAAACACTTCTCTCCTGAGCTTTCTCATGGTTTTTAAGAGCATAAATCACCCGTGTATCCAAAGAGGCTCGCTTGCATTTTCCCTCACTTAAAAAGCAGACTGGTAACCACACTGCTACCCCTGCTCTTGGCCACACTCATTAAACTAATGACAGAAAAGCGCCTAAATAACCCATGACCTCATATCTCAAAGCAGGAGCAGCATAGGGTCTTGTCAGGCCACGCTGGCCTTCCCAGGGCACCTCCGATGTCCTGGGGTAGCAGCCCCACACACCAGCATCCCCTCCTGCCACCTCCTGCTTCTAGAGATCCAGACGCTTAAGGAAACGGTGGTGGAACTCGGCCTTGGCTGAGAAGTTTCTTTTAGGTTTCCTGTACTAAATATAAACAGCTATCTTAGCCATTCCTTTTAAAATTTCCTCTCCCCTCCCCTCCAGTAATTATACTGTAATTGTAGAAGGTAGATTAAATTGTGTTACTGAATGAGTTGGTGAAGTTCAGGGTCAGATTGTTCCTTTCTTTAGAAAGATGTATACAGAGGACAAACATAACTCACGGCCCTAACGTTAGTTACCATACACGTGAGCACGAGAAGTTATTTCCCAAAGTGTTTATCCACCAACCTACAAAGATAACGCAAGCTCTTTCTGAGTGGTTTACCTTGATTAGCTGATAGCAAAGGAGTTGCTTTGTGCCATATAGGATAACTACTCAGTTACTCCTCCTACGAAATTATCCCTTCTTTACGCACTGCTTCCTTCCTTTCTTCCTTCTTTCCCTTCCCCCAGTTTGTCTAAACTGGTCTGACACTGACATAAACTTTCTAAATTTTCAGTCACATCAAGTGAAAATAAATTAATAAATAAATAAAAAATTAAAAAGCAAGCTGTTTCCTTTTTCATGCAAAGGACTTTTTCCTTTGCTAAAAATGTCTTTGTCCTAATATAGTAATAGCATCAAATATATACAAAGGCGATGTGACTATATAGGGTCACACGAAGATTAGAGAAAGTTAAGATTTTAAAGCAAAAAGTAAACTGCTAAAAATAAAGCGAATGCTGAACATCTGTTTGGAGAGTAAACAAAGAATTGCAAAACCCAAACAATTCACAAGAGGGCCCAGCCAAGCAAGAATATCAAGCACACATCAAATTACGGACCTTATGTTACGCACACATAAAACCCTCCCAGTTAATTGCTTATAGCAGCACCTGTTCCCCCTCACCCACACCCTTCCACGGGCCACCCTGCCCACCTGCAGCCCTTCAGCTTCCCCCCTTCCAGTCCTCCCGCACAAAATGAAACGATTTTCAGGGATACACTTTGGCTAATGTCATTCCAACGCTCTCTGCAAAGCAAAACAAGACATCAAAATAGAGGCGTTTTCAGAAGAGCTCTGCTCCCTGGCCTTCACAAAGCACAGGGCTTACTTTTACAAGCTCTAGTATCTATACGTGTTAAAACCCACAAATAATTTCCCTTCAGCTTTCCAAGCTTCATCTAAACCATCAAATACTGGATTCCCAGAAGGACCACGCCTGCCAAGCGTCAGCTGCCTTACTTGTGCGAGGAGCACAGCAGAAATGCGGTTGGTACTTGCATTTGCTGTGAAGTCTGGCACCAACACAAGCACCAGGAGGTATCCACCCGCGTGTGCTGGGAAGGACTGTGGGACAGGGTGCCACGGGCAGCCTCACCCCTTTTCCCCACTGCTGTCACTCTGACGAGGGGTCCAAAGTACCAAGGAGTGTTGAGCAAGGCCATGAAAAGCAGATTGCAAGACTAATCACACCAGGTCTGGGGCTAACATCGTCACATCACGATTTTGCCCCGGTTGGGTACTGTTTGCAGGTAGAATTGCAACAGCTCAGTGCTACTGGTCGTTGCCTATCCCCAGGCAGGTGCTACGCGCAGATGGGTGCTGCTGGGGGCACAATAAGCCCACAAGGGACAAAGCAGAAGCAGAACAGCTCAGAAATGGTACAGACTGCACAAAACAGAGGCAGGGTAGCACAGCACAGCAACCCTGTCCAGAACACAGACCCTGTGTCTGCTCTAAACTCTCCAGCTGAAGTCTATATCAACACAGGTACGTGTATCAACTCATGGTAGCAACTCACAGTACTTGGATCAGCTCAGACATAAAGCGGCTACATTAAAACCTCTGCCTCTCCACAGCTCTTACTAAAAGATTTGACATTAAACTTATTTTCCAACTAATGGTTGTAGCAAGGATCCTACCAAAAGGACCAAGTCTCAGTGCACAATAAACTATACATTGGCCAGCCTTTACCCTGTAGAGTCGAGCTGATTAGAAAACAAACATTTTTCAAGCTCCATCTCTTAAGTAATTCTCGAAAGTCACCTTCTGACCGTCTGTGTATAAAGATAACCCTGGGTATTCCTGCCTGCTTGTGCTTCTAACACCAAGAAGCACACCCTGAGCGCATCACAGAGCCCCAGGCTGTGAACTATGCAACCAGGGAAGGTCCATCTGCAGAGAAAGCACAGCTTTCAGTACATCCAACATCACCTATCACAAATTCCCTCCTAACAGCTTAACGTGCCCACCATGTAACAGAAGCTGAGGGAACACAATGTTTTCCAACACCAGCTCAGGCTCAGAACATTCCCTAGTTCACACCAGAGCTGTGACAGCTCTGTCTGGTCTGGACTAAATGTCGTGCTGCAGCTCTGCAACCTCAGCCGGAGATTAAATGCAAGAGCTGCTTGCCTTAGCATGTGGAAGGGACCAGATTGGGTTGCCCTGCCTGTTACCTATGGCCTGACCCTAAAGACAACTCATGCAGCAAATGCTTTCCAAGCTGCCCTTTTTTCCTGGGCGTTTCCAGGGATTTTTTTCCCACAAGACAGGCAGCAAGTTGCAGGGAACAGACAGACACTGCTCAGAAACGTTTAACATCTCTAATCATGGACCCAGCTAAACTGTAGTCCTGTACAGCCAGGGCACTGATCTGCCTTCTCCGCCTTTCCAATCCAAACATTTCTCATCTAAAACCGAAGTCCTGTTGCAGAGCTCTGCACCTGCAGCATAAAGAGAAAGATGTGTCTGGCCAAAATTTCTCCTAGTGCAACGTGTACTGGCAAATCAGAGTGAACTTGGCCTTTCGGTTTCATTGCTAAACAAAAATGCTTGGCAGAACAGCCAGTGAACTTTTTACCTAATTCTTTTCAGGGCACTCCTCTGTAGATACAGTAAATAAAAATCTACTTACTGAGCAGATGATACCATGCTGTCCCTGATCAATATGTTATCAGCGGGGCAGGAGAGAGGCAGACACTCATCCTCAAGAAGCAAAACAAAGATACAGTTTCTTGACTGGACAGATGGAGAGACAACCTGATCTCTTATTACACACTGCCATCTGGAAGACATTAGCACAAACTGACCCCTACCTTACCCACACCATTATTTTTCCCCTGTCAAAGTGTACATACACCATGTGCATTCTGTGACACCCTGATGGGAAAATACATGGAAGTGAAAGGAACTTATTAGTAAATAACTAAATATATTGGGGGAAAAAACACTTTATAATTGTACTTTACTGCAGACAGACTGGAAGAGCATCATGCCATCCAGTAGCCCTGGTGACATTTCAAAGGAACAGCACAGAGGTATAACCAGTAGGCATTGACACAAGAGACATCACATGTGTGTGCATTATTTTTTTGCAGTCATATTGAAAAACAGCCGTGCAGTATTTCTACATAAAATGCCAAAAGAGCAGTGGCTTTAATACAGTCACCTTACTTACACAGGCAAGAATCTGCTCCACGTCACAGATGGAAACAAGATGAGGGATAAGGCAATGACACGAAATAACAAACATCACTGAAATTCTTCTCTTGGCTAAGAAAAGCCCAGTCCTGCTGTTACTGATCCTCATTGTGAGTGTAATCCCATGCACTTTTAACAGTACTACTTTCATTTGCTACTAACGTGTTGGTATCAGTTTAGGTCTGATCAAACTCCAGGGAAGTCGGGCGTGTTTGTTACTGCTGGAATAAAGTTGCACCATGCCTGTTTCACACAGGAGCTAAAAGCAGGGGCCCAGCTGCCTTGATATTAACCCCTTTTCTGCCCATCAGCTGCATCTGCGGGTGGGCACACGTGGGAGCTGCCGTGTTTCTTCTATGGGGACACCAAGGAACACCTCTGCAAGGCTCACAGAGAAGCTGGCAAGCAACAACAGCCTGGACAGGAAAGACAGGTGCAAGGAGAACAGGTAGGCTTTTACGTCTAAAGCTGAACAAGGATGCAAACTAAAAGAGTAAGAAAAACAATTCTGACAAGAGTAAAAGAAAAAAAAAAAAAAAAGAGTACAAAAAAATTCAAACCAACAAACATAGGAGAACCACCTGCAAGCAGCTTCACTCCAGTTGACCACCAGCTTCACTCCAGCTGACCACAGCACATTTCTCTCTTTCCTTTGTTCCAGGAACTGAAAAACTACCTACTTCCACACTGAATATCCCTGGTTTGCAACTTTTTACACCGAACCCTTGCAAAAATCCTTGCACCTTCCTCAAAGTCGAAGTTTGGAAACAAGAGCCAGATCCTGTGGTTGATGCAACAGCCTGTGTGCCCTCAGCCCTACTGGGCTCAGCCACCCCGTATGGGCTAACTACAGCTCAGCACCAGCACTCGCAACTGGGATGAAGCAAGGAACCCCGCGACTCACTTTTGGACATTAACAATAAAAATATTTTAAAGGCAGAAGTTATGAAGTAGAACAAAAGAAAAGGTATAATTATCTTGAAATTCCAGATCCAAATGAGAATGTGAACAGTGTGAATTCATGAGGTTTGTAAATTAAAACACTCGACTGCTCTTCCTAAATATTTCCTAAGGTGACATTTAATCATAGCTTCTGTGCCTTTTTCCCTACAAACTGCAAACTATCACCCCAAGGGCAAGAGAGTCTTCTATTTCAGACTGTAGTCCAGAGACCATATATACATCTTCCTGGCACTTCTGGTGTTAGTCTTTCTCCATTTGTCAGAAAGTAGCTCGTAGCTCCACCTCAATTACTGCTCACTCTTTTCTAACTGCTTTGCTACTACGGCCAACAACCCATTAGCAAGAAAAAACAGAATGCGCAAAAACCCATCAGTAACCCAATTACACTTGTTAAAAAACAAAGAAACACAACTCTGAGTAAAAACTTACAAGAACTGGAAGAAATCCACATCATTAGCTTCTGGTTGTAAACTTCTCTAGATCATCTTACCCCAATTGTAGGAAAAAATTGGTTTCTCACAGATTCACTCAGCCAGCCGCTCTGGGACTGATGGAAATCAAGTATGGGCTAAACAGCAAAGTCACCCAGCTTTTAAGGTGGATTGAGCAAACCACACAAGCTCCTTTCTGCCTTTGATAGCATATTATTATTACTTCAGCTAACCAATTTAATGCTAGCTTAAATATATTGTGTATGTTTACACTCCACTGAATTCACAATGATTGAAGGGTAAACACACCCGACAAGGCTTCCTCTACTGTTGGCAGTTAAGGCAAACTCAAGACACCCTCAGACCCTGATAATCCAACGGCCACCAGCACAAACAAAGCAACACTTTCCCTTCTCAGGGCAAGTAAAAGCAGACAAAAAGCCCAGAGTCCAACAGAGATATCTGAATGCTTTATACTCAGCATTATACTATCAAGGAACTTCTCATAATTAAAGAAAATGCCCAAAGGATCAGTTACCTTGTACTAATACCAAAAAAAAAAATTATATGCATCTCAAAAAATATAAGGTAGCTGTTGCACTTTCACATGTGCCAAAGTGATTCCATCCCAGGGCAAGGTAAACGGCATCTTCCTTTGAAGATTTTGACAGAGGGAGATTTAAATCCTGGTAAAGATTTCCACTGACAGATGCTCCACTGACTACAGACAGACTCAACAAACCCATCAGCAACCGGCCAAACCAGACATATATCCATCCAAGGAGAGTGATAGCAGTTTCTTGGCTAGCACAGGCCGCCGTGGTCCCCCACCCGCCCGCACCAGCGAGCAGCCTGCAGCTGCTTCCCACCGCTCCAGCTGCCATGGCTCTGTACAATACCTTGCTGCAGTCAGCTCAGCAGCATCCACGGGGTCAACATTTCCATTTGCCGCAGAAACAGCTAAGGGTTGCTCAGAAGGATCGAGGAGAGGAGCCAACTGTATATCATCACCTGGCCCAGAAGGGCTGTGGAGAGAAAAGACATGGAAAAAGGCAGCCTTAGAGGTCTGAGTTATTGCAGAACTATTGTCATCTGCCTGTCTGAACCCCTGGACTTCAGCATGTGTATGCTAACTTGTGTCTTAGGGAACGCAGAGAAAGTTGGTGGGTTTAATTTAAGTTGGTTTTGTGCACAGCTCTACTGGTCCCACTGGCCTGAAGTCACTGGATTGCTGTCTTGTGTTACAACCGCAGGAGCAATGAGATCCTACAATCCAACAGCAAATCAACCGCCTTTTGATTCTGGTTTTAAAAAGCACATGAGAAAAGGAGCTACTGCTTGAACAACAGCAACAGCAAGACTCCCTTGCTCAGAAACCACATAACACACAGGGAGCTTGAGTGTGGCTTTCACCTGCCACGGAGCTGCGCGGGGGCTCGTCAGCGGGAGCCCCGAGTCAGAGCAAGGTGTCCCGGGTGCTGCAGGGAGCCCAGGCACGGAGACCCCCAGCCCGGTCCCAGAGCCGGGAAGGCAGGGCGCAGCCAAGTGTCAGCACTACACGCCTAAAAGAAAACAACTCGGAAACACCCCCTTGAATCAATAAGGATTAAAATTTGTTTTTAACAGGCACCCTGAAAACAACGTTTCTGTTGCCTACCGCAGCCTGACTTTCCCACGTGGCCACCCAGAGACCAGAGCCCTGGAAGTGTCAGTTCTCCCTGGAACTCACTGAAATCCTCATGTTTTTTGTAAAACATAAAATCAGACTTTTAACTGGGGTTCCAATTTCACCCAACTGGCTCAGTTCTGAGGTGCTGCTTTCCTGAACACCCTTCTGCCCATGCTGTTTCCAGTACTACCAAGCGGATACAACCCCGTACACTGATGGATGGTGTCTCACACAGACAGATTTGAGCAGAGGTGTGTAAACTTCAAACTGTCACTCAGCATTTGGGATTTCAGCTTAAAAATAAAAGTCCCCAAATCACAGGCAATTTAACACTAGACAATTACTTCCTTACCTAACTGAAAATTCAGTGGATCAGTATGATTCTCTATTATAAACTAATTCCGTTTCAAAGAACAAAGAGTTAAACTGCACTACAATAATGTCAGTATTATTTCAGTAACTTCACACTTCACATATCTTATTTGAAGGATTCTGTAACACATTCATATGGAAATAATATTTCGTCGAGTTTGTTTTCTATTTTATTTTTAATTAATTACACCTGCGATCCTTTGGAAGCCAGTGTTTCTGCTTTTCATTTCCAGTGTTTTCACAGCATCATTCCACACTCAGCGCAGTCTGTTTGTCCATGGCATCCCTGACAAGCCAAGCGGCATTCTCCCCTCCGTTACACCAACACTAAGCCACCGCACCGAGTGCAGTTCTCAGATGATGACCTAGAACCTTTGATTACTTTTTAAACTTACAGTATTACTTTTATCTAATTACAATGCTAACCAATTAACTGTCCACATGTTCTCTGGTTTAACCACACCTGAGGACTCAGCCTGTTGTAGGAAGCTTTGAGCAAAGATGTTTACAAGCTCTCAAGTCCTCTGGCTTATTAGTATAAAAAGACTAATTTCCACTCATCGCTAAGAGTTGCATGGACTTATAGCCAAAGCCATGTTCACTTTGCCTTAAAATTAGGGTTTAGACTTTGACGACAGGACATTGCAACTTCCTTACATACCTGAGGAGTAAACTGCAGATTTTATTCTTATTCTGGCTACTGACCGAGCATGAAGGGTCTTTCCTGTGATGATAAAGTACAGCAAATGCTAAAATTTCAACTGAAGCTGTTGTACTGGTGTGCTCCAACCCGGTGAGCAGCAAAGTGTTTGCCCACCACTACTGCAGGATGAACTCCCAGACAGCGATTTTCATAGTCTACGGACAACGTAACTCGAAACTCGGGCTTGGGGAGGTGATGGCGGAGCTGCTCACTGTCAAGCCACCCTGCTCTGTGCAGCACAAACAATGAAGCTATCCAAAAGCTGCTCAAACTAGTTCCACAACTGACATTCCTGGGCATCACAACCGCCTTCGCCTCGCAGGCGCCTGCCACCCAGGTCCCTGCTGTAAGGCCTCGGCAGCAACTCACTTTTCAGGCCAATTTGTTTCAAGAATCGAGTTCTGTAAAAAGGCCATGAGCTTTTTCCATTCCATTGCCCGAGTTCTGGGTCAAGCCTGGAGGAGGATGTACTTAAAATGACTTCCAAATTCTACTTATGACAAGCATGACTGAAATACTTCTCAAAGGAAAATACCTCACAGTTTAACAAGCAGTTGCTTACTAACAGCTGCGGCGAGCTCACTAAATTCAGCCCCAAGACCAAGGGGTTCAGGCTGTTACAGCGTGTCACAAGTGAAAGATGTTGCCCATCAAGCCTCCTCAGGCTCTTCAGTTTCATAATTTCACTTTTAAGGTCTCTATTTACGCTCGCAAAGAGATTTTTCCGAGTCACTGTTAGAAAACACTTACGCAAACATTAAGTTTCAAAGCCTGACCCATACTTGTCACTAAGTATCAATGAATGAAAGAGAAATAACTGCATAAAACTATGGAATTTCTTCTGTTTAAACACAGAAGGTCTGACCTCCTCTGTCTATGTAAGGAGCTTTCAAACCAAGGCACAAAATGTATTTAAAACACGTAGAAAAGCACAGCTTTACACACGGGGACACAGAGGCAAGCAGGGTCAGCTCCTCGGCACCAACCCAGCAAGGGCTACGGACTCCAGTGGTTCCGTTTGTTGCTCTCCTACTGACATCACTGAGATGCCAACCTCAAAAACCTAATTTTATCCTGAAGGTTTAAAATGTTTTGACACTGGTGCTGGAGACAGAAGGCAGCTACGGGTCTTGGCATACTCTCCTCGCCCACGTTTTTCCAATCAGGAGAGTTGGATGTGGCTCCCTTTGAACAGTCAACAACAGCTCCAAGTGTACTCCAAGGGAAACCAATAAGCATTTCAAGCCCTGCTATCTCCTACTCCCAAACATTTGGTTGCTTTTAATGAGATAACGGTAAGATTTATAGATCCTGCTCATGCTCCAGAAATCTCTGGAAAATGACACCAACCACCACAAGGCAGGACTGAGCTCTCAGCACTCTCATCACCCACTATTTTGTTTTCTTCAAGATAACAAGATGTGGCTCACACGGTACAGCAAGGCTGATAGACAAAATCCTGTAGATTTCATACTTGGCTCTGTAATAACTTGGACCAAATAATCAATTTTTTGAGCCTCAGTTTACACAGGCATAAGAAAAAAAAAATTAATCACATCATAAAAATATTGAGAGCATTTGCTATTTCCAGTAAGTTCTTACACCGCAATTCTTTGCAAGAGAAAGAGATCTAGCAGCATCTACAAGAGTTCATTCATTCAAACACACTGTACCTCATAAAATTTCATCTGTTTTATTAAGTAATTCCTTCATAATATTCATTTTTACCTTTTCATACTTTATTTTGTAGCTTATCTCATGTTAGCTACATTCATGGAAATAAATTTCATGTGTAGAAAACCCAACAATAACCTGCTATAGTAACTCTATGCACCTCTGGTATTTCCGTTCTTTTAAAGTATTTTCATAATTATTGGGACTCTTTTCAATATGATTTAGCAAAGCAGGAGGTAAGAAGCTATTTCTCAGATTAGAAATCAACACTACTTGTATCAGAAACTAAAACTAATCTTGCTCAGGAAACAACTCATAAATGCTGCATAAAATACCAGCACAGGATTAAAACAAAGCCCTTTAGTTGGGTTTTTTTTCCGTACTACTTCTTGTAAGGTAATTTTAAAATATTTAAATATTAATAGAAATGCAGGACAAATATGAGCTGCGAAGATTGAAATGGAAAGTCTTTGTCTCCCAAAGTCTGGCTTTGTTTTCCAGTGGATGAAGGGGACATCCACACCACCAAATGATGTCCCCACAGGGCAAGCCCATACACCAGCAACAGCTTTAAAAGCTCAGGCACAGCAGTGACTGAGGGTCACCGGTTACTTTCCCCGGTCACTACACACAGCTATAACCAAGGCTTTACATTTTACCCGCTAAACACACGCTCACAGTCAAAAGTTCCAAGTTTTGGGAAACGTGCTGCCCTTTGTAAACCCAACAAAGACTTCCTTACGCATGGAAGTGTGTGATTTGGGAAAAATCTCTCAAATTGTTTCTGTACTCGGAAGGAGAAACTATGCCTTAAGTGCCTTTATATTTACACTGCAGGACCTGCATGCCTCAGCCAGGCTGAGTCTTGCTGAGCTGGGCGCTGTACAAACACAGTGATGAAGGTATCCAAGAGATGAACCGGCATGCCTTAATTAAACAAATAAAGTCACCGTCATACAGGGGACACGCGAGTTTGATGTGCAGGACTGTGCATGGCAGCATTTCCACACTTACAGAAAAAAAGGCACTGCCACCAAGATACCAGAACTGGCTCCTGGGGGAATTATTCCAGTGTCTGAGATTTAGATGAGCCGGACCCAAGCAATCAGCAGAGCAGGTCTGGACGCGGGGTGGCCGTGCTCAGTGTGCCCAGGGAGAGCCAAACCCAGCCCAGGGGGTCATGCGTGTCCCCGAGGAAGGGGACAGCCATCACCCTGTGCGAGCAACAGGAACCAGCCGCATCTCCCACAGGCTGCCCAGGTGTGAACACACGATGCCCGACTCCCGACACAAAGCTGCGCTTCCAGCAACGAGGCATCCCTGCTCCTACCGCGGATTTCTGTGTGAAGAAAGTTAAGAAAGGAAAACAAACGCAGAAACTGCATTCTGGAGGGGTGAAAGCATCTTCCGAAAGACTTCCTGAAAGCAGTACCCCACCTATGAAAGGCAACTCCAGGAACCCAGCTGCAGAGCAGCCGGCAAAACCTGCGGGTAACTCCAAGTGAGCGGCCGGACCAGAGCGCTGTGCCCGTCAGGCGACCTGCACGCGTGACGATGGAGAAGAATTTTCGGAAGCCGTACTTTTCTGGCAGCGCTCGTGGAAATCC